TTAGAACCCATGATTTGGATTTTGTTTTCTCAAGCACCTGACAAACTAGTTCATTGAAAACATCAGCTTTTTCACCTATCACGGGAGTAAATTCAGCTCCCTCAAGATTGTCTAACCTCCATTTCTCTTGTACTCCAGCCTTTAATGACCATTGATGAATAAGTAGTTTCAACATTGTGTAAAATCACTTTGCATCAGATTTACATTGAAAGATGAAAAAACATGTTATGCAGGTCATTTATCTGTTATCCGTGACAAAGAGGAAATTCTTATGTTAAACCATTAACCAAACAAAATGGATGAGCATAGAGATCGTTCCTGTCAAACTGAAAAGAAATACTATATGAGGATGTTAATAGAAGAAATTTTACATAGACATCATAATTTGTACAGGGCAGTTTAGAAAGCATCATCCATGATTTGAAGTAAAATGAGAACTGCTTCAGAAAGTACTCTGCATTTTAGTAACATCTGTAGGAACACAAAGCTGCTCCAAGTGTATTATAGTCTCTGGATCTATCCATGTAAAAGGGATTCTTCTGCACTTGCAGATCACGTTCATTACTCATCATCATACAGAAACTTTCATATTTGGACTCTGCCTCGGACCCCAAGTTATTTGTAAGAAAACCCATCCTCAATAGATTGTCCCAGCCCTAACCTTCTGAAAATAGGCAGCATTTGGATCTCAAAGAAGCACAGCTCTTTGGCAGTCCGGAGAAGAGAGTGAGCAAAACTAGTTCACTTTTCTGCTAAGCATCAAATGTTCATTAGTCATATTATTGCTGCTGAAATACAAGAATATAAAAGGGAAAATATGCCAAATACCACATTATGAGGTGGACCATACTAATTTAATCGTTTCAGAGATTTTTAATTTGAAGTATCAAAATGTAGAGCAAATTTTAGAGTATCATTGTCCTTATCCAACACAAAGTAAGTTACACAGATGAACGAACAACACACAGGTTTACCATATATCTTCCTTGTAATTTGCATCATAATTTTACGGATTTAGGTAATGTGGGCTCTTGCCCTGCCCCAGCTGACTTGACTCCCACCAACACAATGTCTAATTGAATTTGATAACTTCTAGATGACGCCATATTAGCAAAAAATAAGAGGTACTGCAGCAGATTGAATGTATATATAGAATGCTGATCCATACTTCAACTATTAGTACAGATATCCAATTATCTTTTCATACTTATACTCACTTTATGAAGATTCTGTGGTTAGCCAATCCAAAGTTATTGTGTCAGATTAGAAGCGGGAATTTTAATTTGTCATCAGGAGCTAAAAAAGGCAGAACAAGTTTTGACTATCATTAGTTTTATTTCTAAGTCAATATAATTTATTATGTAGCTAACTTTTTGGTTGATCTTATACCAGAAAAGCATAGAAAACATTGATACTCGAGCTATCAGTTTCTCCTATTAGGATTAGGAAACGACATAGTTATAAACTTTTATGCCACTTGAACCATCCTCAACTCCATGACCAAAATGTGTAATCTGATTCACACTTTTTAGATGACAGCATATCTAAAATCAGAGGTGATGCAAGTGCATGAACATGAAAGTATGTTAGTACATGGAGAGATTATCCATCTTGAAATTCTGAATGAAGTCAACGTGAACATCAAAAGTCACAGACTCACCATGCAACATTTTTCCAATGAAGGTAACCACCATGGCCTCTAGCATTTGAGAACTTGTAATTTGGCCCAGACACTATCCACAGAAAAAGTTCAAGTTATTAATTAGAGGAAGATGTCACTGCAGAAGCTACAAGCATCACACAAGAATATCAATTCATTTTCATACAGATGGACTCGGAAGAAATTTCATGAGTTGATATACCTTCATAACCCTCAAGAACTGGATCCTCTGCTAACAGAAGGGGTGTATCCAAATCAATGAATCTGCATCATCGAAACAAGAACAAGAACATACGAACAATCGTTTTAGTAATGGAGTTTATCATCAATAATTTATCCTTGAAAATTGCATATGCCATCTCCTAAACACCAAACCTAGTTTAGTTCCCATAATGCTAGAAGTTATGCAATACCACCATGCTCAAATGTACTCTGAGAAGTATGTAGAAATTTGATTTGATAAGTGCATGTCTTGGAGCAACGAACACTTTCAATGAGAATTTTATATAATCACAAAATATACAAGATACTTGGTAAAATGAAAGGAGAATTAGTGCTTACTTGAAACACCCAAAGCCAGCAGCAAGATGACTAGCAAAGCCCATTCCTAGTCTAGTCTCAACCATACCACCAATCATCAGATCCAATCCAGATGCCCTTGCAAACTCAATTATTTCTAGAGCACCAAGTACCCCAACTTTAGCAAGCTTGATGTTAACCACATCTGCAAGCTTCTCTTTCACTATCCTCTGAACATCAGCTAAACTCCGACAGCTTTCATCAGCCGCAACCGACACCCCATATTTGTCTGTTGCAATGGCTGTAACCTGACCAAGACCTTCCCAATCATCTCTATGAACAGGTTGCTCGAAAAGGATAGGAGTCACGTCCATTTCTGCATGATGGCAATGATAGTCATGTTATGATGCTTAAATCACAAAAGCATGGCTGAGGGTGTACTTTACTCTCGTACACAGTAGTTACAACCACACACAAAGAAACAGGCGGACAATATTTTTCTATCTTTTCATTTTCTCCTTCAAATTAAGAATGAACAGCTACATAACAGAAGATTTTCATTCGTTTCCTCACATTTGGGGATACAATAACTTATTTTGAACGACATTTTACCATGTAGTTTTTCCAGAACTTCAATAGCTTCCTTGGACGTGTAGCCTTCATTTGCATCTAAGATGAACAAGCAATCTGGGTGGGCCTTGCGGATGGCTTGAAGCACTTCAATGTCTCCACATTGATTCTTACCTACTTTGAGCTTCAATGTTTTAAATCCTCGAGTACGATACTTTGAAGCTAGCTCAGATGCTTCAGCAGCCGAAACTATTGGAATCTATAAAGATCATAAGCTTATAACTTAGATTGATACATCAAAGAACATTTATTTTTGGTTCCATTATCACAATATTCGCTAGCATATGCATTTGACAGCTACAACCTATCTGATTCATTTGATGTTAATAGAAGTAATAAATTATATTACTGTTCATGTAGTAGAAAAATTAGAACTGAACTGTTATATCAGTGGTAATTGTATTTGAAGCTCCACCGAACAGTCTCCACAAAGGTATTCCAGTGCTGGTTGCAGCTGCATCAATCAATGCCATCTCAATTCCAGCTCTTACCTTCAGTGACAAATGTAACCGGGTGAGTACCACAAAACCATTCAGAACACTAAAATGATTGAAAGGATTTTTTTTGTTGCATTTTATGCCAATTGAATGTTTCTGCATGTTATTGTAGACTAGAGGTGTTTTACAAGCAATTTTTGTAGATGGGCCTAATGTAGAAAAGGTCGTGGCAATAGGCATTTAGGGATTTCAAGGAAGTGAACACTGTTGAGTAATTCCAAGGGCTTAGACAGCTTTTGGTTTGGCTTGTCATGAGGCTAGTTACTAGTTCGAGTTTAACAAACTTCATGTGTTTATGGAAATTCTATATAATAATGTCTCGTTTGCTGAAGTAGAAATATTCACCAATTACACTTTTTTCTCTCTCCTGATTTTCAGTGAAAAGGGTCTAGAAACTGTAGCAAGTGAAATTCTGAAGTTAATGGGAAACAAATTCAACTAGTCAACATGGTATCATACTTGAAAAGTGAACAAAATAAATGAATTTTTTTTTTCAGTTTGCCAGTAACTGGAAACAATGGAGAAACAGAATAGAAGGAGCCCCGTAGTAGGCAATTGATACTTCTTGTGACATGTATGACATAGAACTTGACAGCCACAAACTAAAAGCATAGATTGATACCTCATTGAAACCTAGTACTAAATTAAGTGACTAAGAGATCCTTGGTTTGACTCTCGACACATCTACTTTTTGGCAAGAAAACTGGCAACAGAGGATGTCTTAGAGACGTATGTTTGAGGCAGTAAAATGGTAATGCTTCTTTCTTCCATAAATTAACTGAGAAAAACACAGCATTTTCTCCTACAAAGATTGTGTGATATATTGGTTTGCAAATAGTGCACCTTTTAAAACAATTTCATGACAGACAAAAATCATCGCATAAAGAAAAGTAATGCAGCAAGATGATCACCAAGTATCCAATTTTGTCAATCAAATGCCCAGATGCGTGTCTTTTTATTTTTGGTATCCAAGATATCCCAGATGCCCATTAAAGTGCAATACTATCAACCACAGGGAAAATGATATTGTTTTTGAGTCAATAGGAAAATGATACTGGTAAACAAATAAACTGTACTGTAACTCACAGAAGCAAATTGATATCCCGGAAGAATTTGACCAATCTCCCCCAATATGAAACACATACTTTTCCCAGAACTCTGCCTCAGAAACTCGCATGCCTCTTCTGCCTTGGCTAAAGCTGTAGGCTGATCTTCTGCCGTCACAAATGGAAGAATTGGAGCCTCACCCCACCCCACACACCCATTACTCAACTCAATCCTGATTGCCACATTCTCCACTTTATCAAGCCTTGATGTGGCAATTGTAAAAGGGGCAATCAAAGGCACATTCAGGCGCCTCCCCTCTGCTCTATGAACATTAACTGTGAACGTTGCCATCAAATTCTTGAACCCAAAGGTTGTACCTTTACCTTTCTGCACCGTCTCCATGCAAGAAGCTGTAATTCTGGGGGCGGATTTCTTGACATTGGGCGCAAAGTTTGGGGCTTTATATATTCTTGCAAGCAGGGGAGAAGAGAGGGAGAGGGATTGAGATGGGGAGCATAGAGAAAACCCAATTGGACCCATTTGGTATAGAGGAACTTCGGATTGGTTTGGGGTGATTCGGCAGTGTTTGATTGGGTTCCGAAACCGAAAGGGAAAAGCTGATGCGAAGAGCTGCCATTGTTATATACTGTAATTTCTTGTATTGTATTAGGTGACCAGGAAGAATTGAAAAGTGGAGCGCTTTTTTTTTTTAATTCAAAAAGTGAGTTTTTTTAGCATAAAAATTTCATCTTTCTTTGTTTCATCATGCATGTGCTGGTTTTTCCGATGCCCTTTGTCCGGCTTTGGCGGCGGCCAGAACTTGGGACCATCATTAGGGTGCTAGTGGAAGGATGGCAGCCATTATTCAGCCAAGGTCATGGTAAAGAAAGCGTTTTCCGTTTTTTTTTTTCCGCTTCTTTTTTCCGTGCTAATGCAACTAAAATACTTTTTTTTATTTTTAGTAAAAATACTTCCATTTTATGGTATCAAGAATTTGAGTTGCATGCTAGTTTGCTTGTCCAGGTAATGATATATTAGACTTGTAGTGATTGTGTTTATAATCAATCAGTATGTGCTTAGCCTAGTTACTCTCTCAAGTCAATAACACAAAATTTAATATCATTTTGTAAATTTAATATCGCTTGGCAAACATTATTGTTGTACCTAGGTATATTCTGATTTTGGATTCTACGCCAGCTTGATTTGAGGTTCAATAACCTTGCATAGTGTGGTAGACAAAGGAACCGAAGATTAATCTTTTTTCCTTTAGGAAATTATTATATGGAGCTGTTAGTAGTCATTTAATGTCTCTTAAATTCCTCCTAAGGCTGCTTTCTTAATTTGTGATCATGTGGTTCAGCAGAATAATGAACGACCATTAATATCCCTATTTTGGCACAAAGCGGCTCCAACGTCCTCACATGCGTCAATGCCGTCCCGTCTGGCAAAAAATATATAATTATGTTGACAGAGGAAAATTGCAACCATGTGGAAACTGTTTTGAAGCTTTTTTTTTTTTCAGAGGCAGAGATTGTTGTGGAGTTAGGAAGTGTCTGTTGTATTTCGCTGTGTTCCATTTCTTGTATCTTTGCATCCTGGCAAGATGCAAATCGACATTCCCAGTTTTAAGTTGATAGCTTTTGACCTTGTAAATGATGATTCTTTTGATACTATATAGATCAAATCAAAGAAAAGGAAGATTCTTTAACTGTTGTGATCAACTTGTAAATGTAATTTATGGCAGATTGGCATTTATCGGATTAGTGTTTTTTATGGAGAGAAGCAGAAGAACAATCACAAAGTAAAGTCACTCGTATGTTCTATAACTGGACCCAAGAAGCCACCAAGGAAAGGATGCGTGTATGTTACCTTTTGTCAGACACCAAAAAGCATAACCAATCTGTGAAATGCGGGAATGTGAAGTTAATACAAAAATCATGCTCAAGAAATCCCTTTCTTCTGGCATTGTTACTTCCTTTGTTAACAAGCTTGGAACCGGCCAATCTACTATAAACTCAAATCTGATAACTTTTGGTGGGATGAATTCCATCTCGGTTCATAACTTCCCGTTCTTAACATGGCTTCTCGTCTGCGTGCTTCTGACAATGGAACAGCAACAAAGGTGAAGCTATTTGGCCGTGGCCAAAGGTCAATTCATGATGCTCTAGGAGGTGGCAAAGGTATTATGAATCCAAGCACATTGAACTTGCTGGTACGAGAAAATATGTACTATTTTCGCATATTGGATGCTAACTCCACTCAGTTTGCTCAAAATTCATGGACACTACCCAAATATACATATCCTATGGTTTTAGTTTAATCCTTCTTTTTTCTGCATTTGATTGATGAAAGGGTCATGATGATTTGAGTTTGCAGCTGCTGATTTGTTGTTATGGAGGAAGAAAAGAGTTGCAGGTGCTGTTCTAGCTGGAGTTGCAGTTGTGTGGTATCTGTTTGAGGTTGTTGAGTACAACTTCATAACTCTGCTCTGCCATGTCTTGATCACTTCAATGTTAGCATTGTTCATTTGGTCTACAGCGGCAAACTTCTTCCAATGGTAACTTCTTTACTTGATATTATGCGTGTTACCACCTCTTTATTCTACATTCGCATTTGAAGTATGAAAGTTCATGGAATTGAATAGAGTAAACACAAGGGGTAATTTGCCAGAAATAATTTACTTCATCATATATATATATATTTTTTTTTTTGCATCTGGATTGTTGGATGAAACTTAACTTTGGGGTTATCTTTCTTCAGGACTCCTCCAAACATTCCCAAAACCGTATTGAAAGAGTCCACATTTACAGAAGTTGCTTCAACCTTCCACTCAAAATTTAACCAGATTTTATCCGAACTTCTTCGTGTAGCCTGTGGAAATGAACCAAAGCTCTTCTTTCTGGTAAGTGAAGAAATGAATAATTCTGATGCTCCATCAGACAAGAACTTGCAAAAAATTATGACTGCTTCCTCACTTTTTGTTAATTTCCAGGGATTGATTTCTCTCTGGATCCTCGGAGTAATAGGGAATTATATAAGCACCTTGAACCTCCTGTTTTTCAGTAAGAAAGTTCCTCCACCCTCCATTTTTTGAGTGATGATCATTGAGCTGATTTTGTCATGAATTTTCAATGATTTCAACCAGGCATACTCTGTGCGGAAACCCTACCATTCCTCTACGAGCAATACGAGGACGAAGCAGATAATCTTGCTGGTAAACTGTACAAACAGATGAGGAGCACATATAGGAAAGTTGAAACTGATGTTCTTGCAAAAATACCTAGAGGACCACTGAAGGAGAAAAAGGAGACCTAGTATGGGAAGACACAATTTGAGTGAATTTTCCAACTGTTCTCCAATTGGAGTTCCACATCACCACAAAGCGAAGTGTACATAATTGGTTTATGTATTGCGTCCATGAAAGTTATTTGCTGAGACGGACCAACATACAATATAATGGCATGCAATACAAGCATGCCAAAACCATAAGTATGACTGTGTTATAAGGCTTTTAGTTGCAGAAGATAGAATGTTTATCAATTCACAAAAGGGTGCAAGAAAATATCTTTTCAAATTGGCATAGAAGATTTTGCGTAATGTTTGATGAATTAAGACCTGGTGCAATTTTCAAGAGGTGATGCAATACAAACAAATAAAGTCTGAGAAAATTGCTTCATAAAATTTTACGTTCTATATGAAGATTGTTAGCTTTCAACTGGATCTATCCAAAAAGAAGACATGTTCACAAGATCTCCATGATTAGCAAAAGGGGGAAATCTGGCTATTCCAGAATGCAAATGCTAGAATAAACCACCACTCAGTGATACAGGTCATTTGCATGGTAGTTGTCGCATACTTAATTCGATTTCGCATTTTGTTTTTACTACCTTGTGGGGTGTACAGTCATCACCATAAAAAGAAAATCACAGCTGATATGCTACATATCCCCATCACTTTGAATAAGACAGCCACAAAGAAAATCTTTTACTAGGTTTTTCTGGATTTATCCATTTCATCAAAGAAGTTACGAGGTACATAGACCATCCATTTCCCTCTGAAAAGCTCAAACGACGCTTATGTCAACTGTTTTTATTTGAGTGTTCTAAGCTTATCAGTAACCAAAATTTCTGGTAACTGTAGGTCTCTATTGTGCCAACAGGAATGAAACATAGCTTTATACAAATGTAGAAGTAAGGTCAGATCTTTATATAACTATTTGAGATAAATTCAGAAAGGGCAAGAAGAAACAAAGACAGAAGAGACTGCAAGTTCTAGCTTCCAAAGATTTCCTGCCTAAAAGCAACGGAATTGGTGACACATGGAACTGTTTCTGCTACTGTTACAAATATCCCATTATTACAAAGATGCCAACTTTAAGATGACTAGAGGAGGGCACTGAATCAAATGTCTGCAGGCTATATAGGCACTCATTATGGATAAGATCAACCAACACTGAATCAAACCTGCCCATGTTAAAGTCGGTAATAAAGTTAAACAAAGTGTGTGATGGGGAGAAAAGGTTCAAATTATTGAACCTTGCTAGTGCCAGATGCCAATCACACATTTCTGTCAAGAAACGTGATCCTTGTTTAACTTTCATCATGTAAAAGTGTTTTACAACGGTCGTAGATTGCTACTTTTCTTGCACATTATCCACAGTGACAAGCAAGAGTGGAACCAGGAGTGCCAACAAACACAAACTTCATATATAGTGGTGGTATTGACCCACAGGCTCAATGGAAGACCCATTGCTTGCGTGAAGGTCTGAGTAGACAATGATTATAAATCTATAATAACCGTTTAGGAAGAAGGAAAGGTCGTTGGAGAACAGTTAAATTGACTCTTCGAGCAACTATAAAAGGCTATATTCTTGTCAACTCTTCACAATACAAGGAGATATTCCTTCAGACATACACACAGAGGAGAGTTAAATATAAAGAAATGGCTAGGGAATGGAAAGAATTGATAGATAGAGGAGGAGAAAATGGTTTTGGTGGTAATGTTTTTGTGGTCTTGTGGCTATCTCTTACCACCATTGTTCTCATCTCAATCATAGTCTTCTCTTGTGCTGATGGTGCGGTACCAAGAAACAAAGATGATGCTGCAGAATCAAGTGTTTATGTTGGTGCTCCTCCTAGTGGATGTGCTGCTGCGTGTGGTGCAGCCTGCGGTGCCTGAATTCGCCCTCTATTGATCATCAGCATCTCCCAAACTTGACCAGCAGCAGTGGTCAGGACAGTTCTACTGATTCACTCACCCCACCTTAACCTACTACGATCATCGTCATTTTGTCAACTCAAGAGGACTAGACCATGTCACTTCACAGTCATGAGTGACACCTTTCATGTTTCTTCTCTTTACTTCTTTCTTCTATTTAGTCTTGATGTCCACTTTATGCAGTGATTCTTGGGAGTAAAAATCATGTCCAGTGTCTCCATGATGTATCCTAGATGTAAGTAACCATTCCTTGTGCAGACAAACTGCAGCACTGAATAAGTCTCCTCCTTAAAAAATCACGTCAAATATTATTTTCGCCATGGGAGTTTCTGCTCTGTTGCCGCCATGAGTTCATGATTTAATAATGAAACCATTTATTGGGATTGTAATTTGTAGTTGGTATGCCAATGTTTGCTGACACCAATATATTCTACGAGAAAAGAACTGATGGAGAAGGAATTGTGGTAAAGCTGTTTCTAAAGTGGACTTATTATAGCAACCAACCTAATGAGATGTCAAGAAGATAGTTTTTGAGCCCTCTTTTCTTCTTGTTACAGAAGATTGGTGATTCTTTTCCTTCTCATCAAGAAAGAAAGAAAGAAAAAAAAAGAGCATCCCGAGCCGTGAATGAGAGACTAAGCTAAGCTGCCTAAATTACTGCTACTTCAAGTTCTAGCCAAGAAATGTATATACAGTTTCTTTGGGTGGACACGAATGATATACCAACCTACGTCCAAAGTGGGCCAACATCAGATTCCAACTTCCATTTTGTCCGCATTCCCGCTTTTGAGATGATGCAATCGGGCGAGGAAGGGCAGAAATAAAGACACGAGGCATCCCTAAACATCAAGTCAAGATGGCCGAGTTGGTCTAAGGCGCCAGTTTCAGGTACTGGTCCGAAAGGGCATGGGTTCGAATCCCATTCTTGACATCCAAAACTTTTTATCTACGCACACGCTGATGCTAAACTACTAAAATCCCTAGCAAGGGATTGCAAGTAAAAATGATGCCGTTCCCTACCCTTTCCTTTCCTAATGAAACCTGGGAAGAAAACTTGAAATCAAAGAAATGAATTTTTCCCATCAACAGCAGCAAGCTTTCTTTTTGGTAATACCGTAATAGGAATAAGTTTCAAAACCCCAAAAAAAAAAAGAAAAAAAATCAAGAAAAACAAAGAACTACTTGTTAACAAGAACAAGGATGCTAAGTTTAGGATCAAGAGCATAATTTCCACCTCTTCTTGGCAGGAGGTATAATGTCCTTGCAAGAATCATTCCCCTTAGGCATGTAATCATCAGAATCCATATCTGAGAATGATGAATATGATGCATGCATCCTCCTTTGTGATCCAAAACAACAAGAAGCTCCCTTCTTAGCTTGCTGTGCCAAACTCCACCCAATCTTGCAAGGCATCTTGACACAACACCAAACCGTAGACAATGGACAGCATACGCTGAACAGGCACATGCTACACACGCACTCTCCCACCTTGTACCAGCAAGACGTTGTGCCCTTGAAAGGAGAGGAAGAAGTGGTAGTAGCAAGACTGGCGTAGGAAAACTGCCCAGAAGAAGAGCAAGAATTTGGACCCCCCCTTTGAGCCATTTGCAGACTCCCAAGAGGCACTGCAGCAGCTTATCTCCTGAGCAAGCAACCAAAGCATGAATATGTCATTAATTATATGGTTCAAAATTGTACCCTCAATCATACTTGCTTTTTCTCTCTTTTTCTTGCTTTTATTCCTTCAACGTGAAGAGAGAATATTTCCTTGACATTCCTTATGCTAAATTAGTGTCGGGAGAAAGACCACTCTTTCAGGCCACATGCGTATAACCTCAAAAGTTACGTTCATATTTGATAGCTCATCACTTTTCTGTTTTCTTTCTCCTTTTTTTTTTTGGGTGATAAAAGCTTGAAAGTTAACAAATGTCATCAAACCCTTCAGAAGTTCTCCCTACATAATCACTCATATCTTGGTGTTATGCTATCATGATCGAAATAGGGTCATAACAACACATTTTACGCTTCAAACTTTATGGTCATCTTTGTTCTTTCTCTCTGCCTTTTCATTCCTTTAGTTTCAAGGTGGAATATCTTTTTGCCGTCCGCATGTCAGGTTCCATGGTGATAAAGATATTCCGTGCAGGTAGCCCTTACCTTAGGCCCATAATCCTACTACCAAGAGAACAGGCACAATTGTTCACGGCCTGAAGTTATGTCCAGGTCGTTTGATAGCTACTCCCACACAGCCTGAAGTTTAACTGGAGAAATGTATTTTACCCAGAGACAATCCAAATATGTATGTTCTAAAATTCCAATCTCACTAACATTCACAAGTTTACAACCAAAAGTAAAACCACCCCCCCCCCCCGGGAACTCCCAAATGGAAAACAGAAGCCAAATAAAAGTCTCACGTTTTTGTTTTTCCACCCATGGCATCATTAAAATCCAAATGAAAAACAGAAGCCAGACAACAAAATTATAAAGAATTTTAATAAAGCTTAAATTTGAAAATAAACTTTTATCTGTTATATAACTTGCACACTTTTCTAATCTCTTTTTCTCTTTTTTATTTGTTCATTACCTTTTTTTTTTGGAAGAATTAAAACTCCGTATTTATACTTTATGGGCTCTTCATCTTTATTGAACGGAACCAGGCCCAATTGACATTCTCAGGACAGCACATTACTGTACAATTGGAAAACACCCGTCCCTGCTCCCCAGGACAACTTCATTTCAACAGGCACGTTAGGGACCAATTCTCCCTTCAGTCTTCTTCCAAACAAATTAGCCACGAGGGGCTGAAAAAATAGCTAACAAAAAGAGACAATGCTCGAAAATTCCTGTTCAAAAACTTCCCACATAAGTAATGCAAAGACTAGGAGCAGAAGCCATTGTCCATCTTTAACTTGAAACTTCAAAGCCAGTGCATTGTCGAGACAATCTGTTTCATGCAGATGATAGGCTCAATTCCCCTTTTCTCGTAATCTTCGCGTTTAACCTCCCCATGAAATGTGGATTAGATCTAAGTCTCTCCTTCAAATATGAAGTTCGAGCATCGTCTACCAGCTTGTTTGCCTTCCCAGCCTCCTCAATTAAAGAAAGCAGTGTCCTGAGACAATCCTTTCTGTTCTCTTCCCGATGCTCAAACCTGATGAACAGAATGTAAGAGAGTGTTATTCTTAAAAAGGCAAGCAAGGGAGAAATAGTATTGCACTAATAATCTGTATGCAGAACCTAGCCACTAGACACAAGGTCATGACTATTAGTAGATACAGAGTCAAATTACACCAAAATCAAAATCTGAATAGCATATGATTCTGAATAGTATTGCAAGAACCTAAAGACCAGTGCAAACATTTACGTTGATAAGGTAAACAGCAACTTGCACGGATGACTTACCTCTCACTGGTTATAGTGAGCTCATCTTTGCCTGGATGGTACCGCTTTC